AATTGGGATGAGCTCATCTGGATAGAAGGGGAAAAAGAAATAAGAGTTTCCAGGTTAATATTCTCTTGTGTATGCAAGAGGTTNATAAAGTTTGGCTGAAAGTTTGGGTGAAAACTATAAGGATCGTTAGGATCCATAACCTAAACAGCAAAAGATGGAGAAAATATCAAATTTAGGGTGTTTGGATTGTTACTAGAGAAGAACCTGAATGAAAGTTATATAGGGAAAAAAATTTCGGGTTTTGTTTCTCAGTCAAAGAGATACTTGAGTATCTCTTTGACAAAAGACTTGTGTCATGTAAATGACTAACTTTATGCAGAACCAAGACTAACTTTATGCAGAACAAAACAGTATATTTGACTACCTTTACTACCAATCCAGTTTTTATCAAAGATTTCATAATGTCTATGACCGACCTCAAATGCACCCTACCTTGCCCAACTCATCTTTTTNTAATCTTGCCAGTTGTTGTACAGTAAGAAGAGTACCGCAACAGAAAGACAATCTAGTTAATTTTCTAATGGATTATTGAACTAATATAATAAAAGTGAAAAGAAGAAAACAAATTGACTCTCAANTACTCACCTACGTATCTCAGCAAGGTCATCTACTGAGTCATCTCTTAAGTAGTAGTAAACATCCAAATTTGAAGCAATGACGCCAACAGTTCTCCTGTTTACTCTGTTGAGACGACCAATGGTAGCTGAAGAACAAACTTTGGCCTGAAATATAAGAAACCAAAGGACATCTAAAATAAAGACCTCAAGGAGCTTCATTAACAAAGTATGTAATTCAAGAAGACAATTAATAAGAGAGATAGAAGAAAGATAACCTCCTTGTACTTTTCTGATCAATTAGAAAAAGCAGCACAATGAAGTAGCAGTAAATCTCGAGCTGATCATGTAAATGCTTAAGAGGAGTTTGGGAAGTCGATGATGTTGTATCAAATTTCTTGTCATCTGCAACACTCTGAACCAAGATTACAAATGTATATACAAAGCATCAAAAAATTGGCAAATTACACAACTTATGGAGTAACATATTATGAAGACAATCACTAGCTACTTCAGTCTTGCTCTTAACTAGCACAGAATCACTACCACACATACAGACCAATAGCTAGCTAATTCACTCTTTAACGTACTCTCATCAGCCAACAGGCTGCTGAAACANATGCTTGCAAGAGTGCCAAGTTATCTCCATCATTGTTTCATTACTCCTCTTGATTGCTTCTTCCCTATTATGCACACAATCACTAGCTACTTCACTCTTGCTCTTAACTACCACACAATCACTAACACACACATACAGACCAATAGCTAGCTGCTTCACTCTTAAAACGTACTCTCATCAGCTATTGTTCATTCTGAAACAGATGCTTGCAAGAGTGCCAAGTTATCTCCATCATTGTTTCATTAAAACTCTTGGTTGCTTCTTCCCTATTATGC